AGGTCAACCACATCAGAACTCCTACAGAGACAAACATTCCTTGGAAAACAGCTAAAAAAATTTTGAATACTCAAAAGAGTGTGGCAGAGTGCAAATAACTATATTTTTCCATTAACAATGAAGAAAGCAGAATAGAAAACACATACTTCCTGTATGTCAACTAACTGTAACTAAAGAAATCTGGGCTGAGCTTGTTTTTACCTTCAAACATAGGGCATATCTTCCTCCAGGCAGTGACCCCACCCTCACTGGTGTACTGGCCCAATGCCGTTTCCAGGAAGAACATAGGGATACCACAGAAGAAGAGGAACACAAAGTAAGGGATGAAGAAAACACCTGAAAAAAGACACAGATGAACACATTTCACATGCAGGTAGTGTGAAGAAGGGGTTCGAAAAATATTGTCAGACCATCATATAATACATATTAAGCCACAAATCCCCTAGGATCTATAAGAAAACTAATTATTTAACCAGCTACAAGTGGAATAACAACATCTGTAGTGAATAGAGGCACTGGATGTGTAGGGAGACATATACAGTATGTTTTCAGGCTATCTGCACTGCTTCCATTCAACCTGAATAGCCATTGATTTCAAATTTCAGTCAGCAAAAATCCTCCATATGTCCAAACCCATTCTCTCACCTCCTCCATTCTTGTAGCAGAGATAGGGGAAACGCCATACGTTTCCAAGACCAATGATTTCTCCAGCCATGGAGAGTATGAACTCTGTTTTGTTGGCCCACTTCTCCCTAGGCTGAACCTTTCCCACAGGAGCCTCTTCATCTTTAACAGGGTCCCCTCTGGCTGTTTCCTCAGTCATGGCCACCTTGCACAAAAATGTTTGTCATATTCTCCTCAGCTCTTTTGTATATAAACACTATTCACAGTAAACCGCAACCGAAATAACCTTGGAAATCAACTGGACTTGGATATCTAGATCGAAGACGTTTCACCTCTCATCCAAGAGGCTTCATCAGTTCTGACTGACTGGTGTTGAGTCGGAGATATTTATCCCCCTCGGCGTGGTTTCAGTCCTTAGAAGGCCAACACTGCCCATTAACGACTGAGTCGTTACAGCCCAGTATCAGTGAGGGTCGTTACCTGTCTTTGGATCCTCCCCTGTCAACCGACGCCTATTGTCCTGGTGGGCATGTTTGGGCAGAGATCTCAAAACCGGGTTGTAGATGGAAGACAAGTTGTGTCTTAGTCCACCACCCCTATTTAGTGAGGGGTGTTCTATTTTTACGAAAATAGCTTCCTTAACACCTCTCTCAAACCAGCGATGTTCTCTGGAGAGGATCT